TAAGCAGGAGGGTCAGGGATTCTGCTCACTCCAGGAGCCGGCTTTGTGCTAGCTGGGTCGGTGTCATGTACTATGCACGTGTGAATAAAGGGTGACTTGGTGATGGAATACTGGCCTTTGTGGAGTTATTTCAATTAGGATAGAATAGCTGCTATGTAGAGTGTAGCTGGTTAAAGCTTTTGAAAGTTTAAGATCTGGTTTTTTTTTTTGGACCTCTGCCTGAATGAAGTACTTGGCAAAAACATTTTGAATCTCCTTACTTAGATCTAAGCTAGTTAAATTAGGCAGTTTAGACTCCATGTTTAATTTTGGAATGAAACCAAAAGGGATATCTGGCCTTGGTTGCCATTGGTATGTGTTTTATAAATTTGATTGCAGTGCGCTGCCAGTGATAGTAATAATATCATAGAATTATTTTCAATAGGAGCTCTAATGCAGGAAGAGGCCGTTCAGTCAGTTTTGTCAGTGCCAGTTCTGTGGGAACCATTTGTCCCAATTCCATTTTTCTGCTCGTTCTCCAAACACTTTGTTATAGTCTCCCATTTTCAAGTGCTGATCCAATACCCCGCTTTGAAATTATAATCCAATCCACTGCTTTATTATTAACATACAGAAAACATTTCATGTTCTAATGCTACAACCAGGTGAAAAGTGGTGAATCGATTCCGCTCTTCTGAACCCCCTTAGTCGGTCACAACAAATATTTTATATTTAGCGTGCAACTTTCTTATCCTTCAAATAAAATATCAACACTATATCAGAATTAAGTTGGAATTCTTCAGTCGTTATTGTTGAATCAGAGACCACAACTGTAGAGAGACAGGCTTCTAGTCCTTTACAATCCATTTTCTTCTCTTCTTCTGTGCTACTCTGCACAAAAGCAATTTGCCTGAAATGCAGTTTATATGTGTATTCCCATGTCTGGCATCATTGCTTTTTCAAGATCGATGAAAATTGCCTGCGGATTATCCGAATGTGTAAAATTTCGGAAAGGTCTAAATCAAAACTAAGAGACAAAGGTTTCTTCGTGCCTGACTGAGTTTCATAGACTGTTAATTTTGGTTCAGACTGTTTCTCATATTGGTTTCATGAGCTTGGTTTGGTCTTGTCAGGTGACTACAATAGGCCTTTTAAATCACTTTTCTCCATTTTTTTTGAAAACCCATCTTCATCCATGAAAGGTCTTGGGTATTAAAATTGGATCATAGAAGTTGAAAATTACATATTTTAGCGCAATCATGACACTGCTACCTCTCTGTATGAGCAAATTTGTTTCAGTTTGAACTTCACAATGCTAGTGAAACTTCTGAGGCCAGCTCCACTTGTGTTTTACAATGGGTTCTGGCAAATCTTTGGTCTGCACTGCCTTGTAGGTGGAAATGAAAATGGCAGAAGATTTTTTTAAAAAATGCTCCTAGCTTTGAAGTTGCAATATCTACCCAGCACAGAACAACCAATTTGTTGTGGCTAAATTGATTTGTAATCCTGCCCTGTTCTTTAAGTTGTTTCCACTGAGCTTTGCACTTCTTGTGGTACCATTGGGCAGCTGTTGAATACTGATGTTTAGTATTGCTGAGAAAGTAATTTTGGAAATGTGATGCATGACAGAACAGGTCCCCCAGCAGATAGATTACATTAACAAGATGCTGCTGCTGCTTGTATCTACTCCTGGCAGGAGGTCTGCTGTCACGGTGTGTCATCGGTCTTGCACGAGCCTCATGCATTCTCTGTAGCTTGTCTACAACTGCTTTGTGACATCTGTCATCTAACTAGGTCAACCCTTCTTTCCACTGCCCCCCATTTTGCCCTTTAGGAGAGATCCCTGTAGCTTTTCAATTCTGATCAAATGGCCAAAATACTGGCATTCTCTTTTCTGGGTGTCACTTTTCTTGAGAGTTTTTTTTTGCTCTTGCAATTTCAACTACAACTTACTTTGTCCTATGCTAAAAATTCTGTACAGAGACAATATGTTTTAGTTCCACCTTTTGAGATGTAGATGCTGTACAATAACGTGTTCTTGCAATGATTCACAGGCAGTAAAAGTAACAAATGCAATCTGTCCCCTGTGTTTATGTGGTTAAATGAACTGTTGGTGTGGTACTCAGCTATACAGACAAAATGTTTATCTTTAATTCCTGATCTGAGTGAGCCAGTCTATTTGGAAAATTCCAATTTCTCTGTGATCTTGGCCCAGAAAGAGGGTTCCCACTTCTGTTCACTATCCAGTGACTCCTGCTGCAAAGTGCACGTTGGTCGAGTTGAAATACCCTCTGAATTTGAATAACTAGTTGGCATTCACTTTTTAAGCTCGTGCATGAAGTTGCGCAAGGTGCCTCACGGGATGCTGGCATTTATGCAATTGTAAGCGAGCAAGAGCTTGAGAAATATTGCAAGTCTTCTGCATGACATTTATTGCTTTCCCTTCACCAGCAGTTCACTGTAAAAGCTACTTGTTACAATAGATGTTATAATAAGCCAACCTTAAGTTACTTGGCTGTGACTTACCCACAATTTCCAAGATCAAACTAATCAAATCAAACGTGGCAGTAATGCCAAATTACTGACTGGATTGATCTGGCTGCTGTGTCCAGTATTTTCTACCCCTCGTCCCATAGTGTAACAGATGGCTTCAAGGAATAAACACCACCAGAGCAGTCTCTGTTCTCTAGTGGAGATAAAGTTATTCCACAGTCACAGTTGGCCCTGTTCTAATTACCTTGGAGACTCAAGTTATTCTCTGAGCAGAGACATTGAGGTCTGGCCAGCATCTTTTCCCACAGTCTAAGTAAGGAATAATAATCTCCAAAAACTGCTGAAGTATGGTGTGGATCCAGCATCCAGAGGCCCAAAATAGCATATTGTTCTCTCTGACCACCACCACCATCGCTCCCCCCCCCACCAACCCCTGTTTCCTTTTAAAATTATTTAAGCAGCCACACTGCACTACATTCCATTTGATCTAATGAAGCCTTTGTAGCCCAGTTACCAAAACCAGTTCTTCACCAAGCTTAACCGAAAAAAACCTGTGGATACTGTAAACCAGAAACAAAAACAACAGTTGCTGGAAAAGCTCAGCAGGTCTGGCAGTATCTGTGAAGAGGAATCAGAGTTAACATTTCTTGAGGAAGGGTCACCGGACCTGAAACATTAACTCTGATTCCTCTTCACAGATACTACCAGACCTGCTGAGCTTTTCTAGCAACTGCTGTTTTTGTTTCATCACCAAGCATATTTATCATATTGTACTATATCTGTAGGAAATGCCGTATTGTCTTAATGGTGCTCTAGTAAGATCAAAACTGCAAGATAAAAGGTGCAAATTCTGGAAATTCACAATAGGTCAGCATCAGAGAAGACAAAATGACAGGGTTATGTTTCAGGTCATTTTCGATTCCTTTGTCAGAATTGATTTGACTGATGCTTTTGATGTTATCAGATCTGCAAAATATAGGAAGTCAAGCTTTGATGAAATCAATTTTTTTATTGATTCAATTAATATGCTCTTTCTAGTTACCTCCAGCACTAATGACGACAGACCTGTGACTATTACTTCTCCACTAGTGTTAAACAGCTTAAAATCCTCAATTATAGAATCCATAGATGCTTTCCCTGGGTTTCACAACTGCATTCGTAAGGTGCTGTCAATCCAACTGTCAGAAATTGTACTAAGTTAACGAAAAGCGTGCTAAGTTAACCAAAAGTGACTCATATATTTGTATTTTGCTTCTGTGCTTCTTCCTCTTTGTGAACAGGCTCCTGCCTTCCGCTTGGCACTTCAGCTTTTTATGTCTCCTTTCCTATGACAAGACCAATATTGAGAATGTGAGGAATTACAGAGCTAGCACACTCTGTGGTACAAGACATCGATGCAATATTCAACCTTTTACTGTCCTGCTAATCTAAGCAAAATAAAATGGAGAAACAAAATATCTTTCAATGTTGATTCAAACGCTACTGTTCTGGAACTCCTGAGATAGCATAAAAGGCAAATGTGGTGCTGACCTTCTCAGACCAAAAAGACCTCTGGTTCAATCTTTGGGTTGTGTTGAATGGGCAGATCTTGGCTGGGGGACTGGGAGACAGTGACTACTCCAGTTAGTTTGTGTTTTAATTTTGGAGAAGGGAATAAAGGGGAAAATAATTCTGTTCCTTTTCATTCTATGGTAACTCCTCGCTGCTTTCCCAACACCTCCGCTCGGTTGTGATGGTAATTGTTCAGGTTGTCCACAGAGAGTGGCTGCTTTGAAGAACATATAAGAACTGTTTTGGAATAGTTTTCCAGCTTGGGAGAGGTGGGGAAGGTGCATTTTTTTTAAGAAAAGTGAAAACGCATTGACCTCTTTCTTCTGCAATTAAATCATCTCAAAATGACATTGGCATATTTACTCTGAAAACAAGAAATGCTGGAGATCACAGCTGGTCAGGCAGCATCGATGGGAAGAAATCAAGCTAACGTTTCAAGTCTAGATGACTCTTCATCAGACTCGTTTGGTCATAGAATGGAAAAGTGCTCCTGCTGCCTTGGTGCTGTCTCCAATCTTCTGATGCAGATGGAGGAGCAAACATTTTGTGTCAAGGACAGGGAGCGAGGAATGGTATTTGTGTATCCTGCGAAGCTCACAGTCTGCTTGTTGTGGTGCGATTAGTTGTGGTTGGCTTCCAACTGTTCTATTATTCCACAAACACTTGATTGTATCTCCTCCTGCCAGAAGATCTGCTGTCGTGGTGTGTTACTGTCATCTGTCTTACACAAGCGCAGAGCAGTTAAATACCATTCGAGTTTTCAAGCTCATTCCTATATCTAGATGTATGCTGTGAGGATAGTTAGTTCCATAGAGCATTCTAATTGTGCATTTTGATAGCAACACTGAGTATTTAGAATGCCAGATTTTATTTAGGTCGTGCATATGTAGTTACTTTTCTCTTTCTTTTAGAGGGCAAGGATAAAACAGAGTGACTAGGCAGTTCTTCACCAACTTCATGTCTTCATTTCCTTACAGAAAAAAGGAGGAGAGAAGCTGTTGCAGCCGCTACACGTCTGACGGAGGCACTGGTGGATCATCTTAATGTTGGGTTGGTATTTGTTCTTATCAATGACCTAAAAAAAGTAATACATGTTTTTGTACATTTCTTCAGAGCTTATGATTGTAAAAATGATTGATCATTTGTTTTCCTATTTTACCATCTTTATGCTGGGTGTTTCTCCCTCCTTCAATATGGCACCACTGTAGGATTAACTGCCTTCAGTTTTCTGACAGCCTTGTTATTTATTATAAATATTCAACTCATCCGTGATAATTACAAGAGGATAATAGTCTGATTGCCCCAAGGCAGGATTATGTCCTGTTTAGATAGATCCACTAATTTGTATCTCCTTGAGTACAAATCCCTTTTCACATGAGACGAATCCTCTATCATATGTAAAAAAAAATCCAAAGACAATCTGTAATGTACATTTATTTGTAAAATCCTAACAGCTGTACAGAACAAGGAACATGGAACAACAGAGGAACAGGCCCTAAGCTTTGGGGCTGTGCTTAAAAATTGACATTAGTATGGATATTCTAGTTATCATCAATATACTCTTAGAATCCCCTAAAGTTTGGAAGTAGGCCGTTCGGCCCATTGAGTCAACATCAATTCTTCAAAGAGCATCCCACCCGGACCCACCCCCTACCCTATCCCTGTAACCCTGCATTTCCCATGGCCAATTCACCCTAACGTGCACATCCCTGGGCATTATGGGTAATTCCACCTGGCCAATCCACCCTAACCTGCACATCTTTGGACTGAGGGAGGAAACTCTCACAGACATGAGGAGAATGTGTGCAAACTTCACTCAGACAGTCATCCGAGGGTGGAATCAAACCTGGGTCCCTGGCGCTGTGAGGCAGCAGTGCTAACCACTGAGCCACTCTAACCCGCTTAGAAAAGTCATATCTGGTTACTGTCTAGTGACTTCTGCTAGGTTTGTGTTTGGGCCATTTTCAGCCTCTCCGTGTTATGTTGACGAGGCAGCTGGTGGTTTGAAAATGGCAGGGAAGCAATGACTGCTCCTCAGGCCCTCCAGACACAAATTTTCAGGCAGGTCTGTGAAAGGATATTCAGTGTTCCAGTCCAAAACAACTGCTGTTTAACTGCTATACATCTCAGGGTCCTTCTCTGGTTGTAGGATACCGTTTGCAAATTGAAGTAACAGTTTCAATCACTTGTGAGACGAGGAAAAGTGGGAATGTTGCTGCTAACCTCTCAAAATGCTGCTTGCTAATGTCCCCTGCTCACTTCACCAACTCTGCTCTGGTGAGATGCCCACTAGCAGTCATTGAGCACTGGGCAACAAGCTGCCTTTGAATGAATCCCAAATCTGAAAATGGTACAGTTGAGAACAGCAAGCACGTGCCAACCTTGCACTCATTTTGGCTGGATACGTCTCTTTTGAAATAGCATTTATAGAGCCATACAGCATGGAAACAGACCCTTCGGTCCAATGAGTCCATGCCAACCATGATCCCAAACTAAACTAGTCCCACCTGGCTGCTCTTGGCCCATATCCTGCCACACATTTTTTATTCATGTACTTATTCAAATGTCTTTTAAATGTTGTAACTGTACCTAGTCATTGAGAAAAGGCTTGATGCTGGGCAAGTCATTCGGAACCAGCAATGTTTTTATTTCATACCCAAATGAAAGCCATTTGTTGGGTTTCAATTATAATCATGGAACCATAATAACACCCTTAAATTTATTAATTTGACCCTCCATTAACAGCTTGCTCAGATTTTGTCCTACTTTACTTACGCACGATTCCAGACAAAATCTTACAAAATCCAATTGTTCAGAGTGTGCATTGCCTGAGATGAGTCTTCCAATTTACTTTGTTTCATTTTATCAATAAGGTGGCATGCCTTTACAAATGGAAAATGAAGTGCAGTGTCATGAGAGCAAAAAGGAGTGGTAGGTAATATTAAATCCCAACGAGGGTATAATTCTCATGATAACAGGTATGATATTTATGGAGATGATTGCATTGCATATCATTCAAAAGTACCAAGAAGTACCAGCTGTGTAAAAGGCATGAACAGAGTAGTCAAGTCAGTGAATGAGTTAAACATTATAACGGCTTCTTGTGAAATTAGCTGAATGAGCGGGAGCGGGTACGTTATTGCTGTTATGTTCTCAGTGTTTCAGATTTCCACACCGAGAAATGTCATCATCCTGGAGTAATTGAGAAGCGGTAGCCTTCAAGATTGTACTTTGCTGGGTTTGGGTATCGTAGTTTTACTTCCACGGTAAAATTCACTGCAGTGGAAGCTGCTTAACCTCAGTGTGACCTATCACTCAGCAGCACTGTAGCAGCTGTGTGAAGCAGGTGTGATGGTGGGCAGGGGTGCTGAAATGCTTCAGGCACTCGATTTGTTACAGATTGCGTGGCCTGTAAGCCCCTGCTTCTTTCTGGTTTCACAGCTGTGCTTTATGGTAACAATTCTCTCCTCCTTTCCTCTGCGTCCTACTATCTTTTAGAAACACCAACCCCTTCTCACTTCTATGTAATGTCTGTAGCCATGTGGAATTCTCTTTCATAGAAGGTAGTGGAGGATGGACTTTTAAATTTATTCAAGGCTCAGTTAGATAGATTTTTGATAGACGAGGGATTTGAAGGTTAAGGGAGGCAGACGGGAAGTGGAGCTGAGACCACAACCAGATCAGCCATGATATTATTGAACTGTGCAGCAGGCTTGAAGGACCAAATGATCTACCCTTCCTCCTCAGTCCTATGTTCCTGTCAGGGAAACACAAAGAAATGGATTGTAAGGAGAGTCTGGAGAGGCATTGTGCTCAAGACTTCTGAAACATCAAACCAAAGCTGAACATGGCTGCATCACTGCGTGCTAGGGTAGGGTTATAAACCTACATTGTGGGCCAATCTGGCTGATCTAATAGGGAATTCACAATAGCTGTTGGTTCCTTTCTACTGTCGCAACTCACTGGAGCGTGCACTGGAAATCAAGCTCAACTATTCCCGACTCGCCACAAATGTGAAGATTTAATGAAATGCCCCAGTACTCCCAATTTGCCTCTGACTGATTGCTACCCAGGATAAAAGCAAACCATAATAGCTTTCTTCAGTAACAGTTTAAAAAAAATCTTTATTGTAACACCCTTGCCTTTGACAAGAACAGGGTTTCTAATTTATGTAACTTAAACTCACCCCCTTTTTAAAATTTTCCCACATACATACATACATGACCACACAAAAAAAAATGCAACACAGGTACAATGAGTGGAAGGAAAAATTGTAGTCAGGAGACCAGCGTTCTGTATTACTAGTCTAAATCACAAAACTAGATTGGTCAGTTTCATGATCATTTAAATTCTTCATTGATACCTCAGTATTATCTGCATAGCAATAATCAAGTTGCATAGTTGGACATGGGCTTGTCTTTGGGTTTTAGAATTATTTCTTTCAGTGTCTCTGTGTTTTACTGTTTTTCCAACATAAAATTGGAGATAGCAACATTTAGAGAAAGAGGAGAGAGACTGATTGCAGCCAACCTCTGGAGGTCTCCTTGCTTCTCTCCTTATCTCTTGCCTCACAGGGTCTGTGTTAAACTGCAACCTGACCAATCAGAGGGTTGTTACTATGTTAGGCCCTCCTGGTCCCACAACAAATTGTCCAGATTCAATCTGGTACAATGTCCCCAAAATAGAACATTGTCCCATATGTATCAGGAGGCTTCACTTGTTTTTCCAAAGCTGCAAACACTCCTTGAATATTCTTTCCTTCTTAAAAGCAGTGTCTGTTTTTCTCATTTTCAGTCCACAGTCCAAAAATAAAAAGATGTGGTCTCTTACATTGTATTCAAGTTTAAAATATTGACTCTCTAATCAATCCTTCACGTTTTATTCTGGTTATTTTATAGTTTTCAGAACAAATATGTGGCCAATTAGTTACTGAAGGATGGAGAAGGTCTGGCAGTTTGTGAATTTCAGGGTTGTCATAATACACCTGCAGTTAAGCCACTTGTCATTTCAATCTCAGCATTTAATCAGGCTGATTTTGCATGTGTACAAATTGCCAAATGCCAATAATTAACATGCTACCATCATCAGTGCTTAAGCCCACATACTGATGATGTTAAGGAAAAGTTCTATTCTGACCTTGACAAAGTCCTTACTGCCATCTCAGAAGAAGAAAAGATCATCTTTCTGGGAGACTTTATGCCAGAGTTGGCCATAACTCCAATGTCTGGAGTGGAACCATTGGGGCAAAAACTGGATGGGAATACCATTGCAAATTGTGTCATTCCCTCCCTGAAAGTGTGCTTAGCATGGCATCATTCTAACAAATACCTTGTTCTGCCTGAAAGAGGAATATGAAACCTTAATGATGCATTCTAGCTTAATGGTATTATCACTGGAGTGTTAAACTCAACACCCGGGTAATGTTCTGGGGACCTAGGTTCAAGTCCTGCCACGGCAGATGGTGGAATTTGAATTCAATAAAATATCTGGAATTAGGAATCTAATGATGACCGTGAATCTATTGTTGATTGTCGGTAAAGTCCATCTGTTTCACTGACCTTTAGGAAGGAAACTGATATTCTACATGTGACTCCAGACCCACAGCAATGTGGTTGAGTGTTAACTGGGATGGGAAATAAATGCTAGCCTCGCCAGCAATGCCCTCATCCTGTGAATGAATTTATTAAAAATTCTAGATCATGTGGTACCTGGTTTAGATCATTGTTCAGGTCAATGATCTAAGTGACATCTGTATCACTTGATCAATGTGGGAAACTGCCTACTGAACAGATCATGGGCTTGTTTGATCAGTGATGCACATGCAACTAGCAGCAAGATATTGCAAGACCCAGACATTCGAAAGGAAGATCAATGTTTCAACCCTACAGTAGACCAATCAAAATCAGGAATTCTGAGTGCACCTCACGATCAATCTGGAAAACTTTCACACACCCAACATAATTTCAGTCCAATGGGATCAAATAAAGTCAACTATATTAGACTCCTGTGCCCAGACCACTGGGTTTGAGCATAGTTGTCACAGAACTAGT